AATAGATCTGGAAAAATATTTGTCTCAAACGTTACTTCTTGTCAAGTTACAGAAGTGAAAATGTCAGAAATCAAACCACCAATAATGTTCTTGTGGCACTCTTACAAATTTAACATACAAATAGATTATTGTCCTATTTGTCAGTCAGAAATGTGCCCTTGGTTTGAAAGTGAAGGCCCAAGTTCCAAAAGCAAAGACTGGAAAGTAAGGCCTGAGTCTTGCTCCTGTTGAAGTCAACACAGGTTCTGCTCTTGAGTTCAACAGAGGAGCACTGGGTGTCCCTGAACACCAGGGCTGGTGGTGAACACCTTATTAGAAAAATCACTGGAGGAGAAAAGGATGCAAAAGTCCATCTGACAACAATGCACAACATTTTTTTGAAGCCACTTTTGTCTACACAATTTCTCATTCAGCTACACAGTTTGTGATGTTAAATTTTTTTCCACTAGCACAAACTACTTAAAGCATTTCAAAAATAAAGAAATACACATTTTAGAAAATGTGTATTTGTGCAAAAAGCTTGCTGGGAAAGAAGGAAAAGAGAAAAGGAGAGGTAAGGGGGAAGATGATGAAGTTCTGCCATTCATCTACTAGAGATGACCAAGAGGGGCATTCACAAACACATGGCTGGGGATCAAGAGTAAAGCTTAGTGGACTTCGTGCAGTGAAGATGTCATCTATGTTAATCAGGCTCTTTAATAAAAGATGTCTCAATAAATAATGAGCTGTTAACATGCGGCTACACAGGGTGAAGTGCTGAGTGAGAAGAGTCTGACTATCTTTACCATCAGTGGGAACATGAGTAAAAGCACAAAAATGGAGGATTGCCAACTGTGCAAAAGGAAGGAAAAAAGGGCTGAAAATGCTGAACTGAAGGAAAGTAAAGGTCATTAATTCAAAAAAATTAAAAAAAACTAACCAGATGTTGGGTCGCCAAATATTTTGTAATCTGGTGTAGCTGTAGTAGGCAAAATTTCTAAAAGAATTAAAGGAACAAGTAATCAGTAAAAAGTAACAAAAAGAAAGCAAAAAATCTCAAACCTGAGTAATGGAAAATAAAAACTAAAATATCACTGGTTATAAAAAATAAATTCTTCGATACTTTGCTGTAGACCCCAAATAGCTGTAAACTGGTGAAGGAAAGAGAAAAACTCTGCCACCCAGGACTAAAAAGCTCAGCTTTGTGAACATTCACAGTAACACCAGGTGATGTGTTCATCATGTTACTGAAAAGCTCATCAGAAATTTAACATCCACAGTGAGGTGTGGCCACAGACTATGGTGAGACATTCCAAAGGAGCAGCAGTGACTGTCCCTTACCATGGCAGTCCCCAAGCTGTGCCGTGTTGCCGTATTCAACATCTTGGACGTATCCTCCAGTGCTGTGGTTGTATGAAACAAACAAAGAGAACCTGCAATTAACAGTATTAGTAAGGATACAAATGGAGATTTTTTTTTCCTGGAAGCAGCAGATGGAAATATATACAACAGCCAGTGTATGGCCCAAAGAATTGTACAAAATGTACAGGACAGTCCGGCTTTAAAGCTATCTCTGTGTGCTTATGCCAGGAAAGAGAAGAAAAACAATCCCATTTTTTAACAACTACATCATGTCTTCTCTTCTTCATGGGCATGCTCTTGGGTTTAGATACAACCATCCAATTATACCAGTTAAAATTTGCACTGGCCTGCTACAAAGGCCTCTTTTTAAGATACAGCTGCTAGTGCACCATATATTACAGACTTGATTTGTGCAAAATGCCTTTGGTATGCATATATATCACCCCAGCTCCACTGCAGAGGCACAACCTTGCTCTTCCCACTGTGAATCCTGTGCTTTCATATTTGCAACTGCCTGTGCCCTGACCACGAGCATGTCTGGGAGGGGATACTGTGTCCTGTCCTCTTGGAGCTGCTCAGGTTTGCATGCTGCAATTTCTTGCCTTCCTGCTTCCAGCTGCTCTTCCTACAGGTCTGCCTGTCCTCCTACACATCTAAAACTCCCCCTGAATGCAAGTCTTCACCCAGTGGTTCCAGAATTAGGCCAGACTTAGTATTCAGTTTTCTTACAGATACAATCCACTGGGAAAAAAAATCTTTAAAAAACCAGAGATTTAGTAACTGTGCAAGGGAAGAGCACAGGGCATGAGCTCGTGTAAAGCATATTTAGAGATGCTGGGCTAACTTAGAAAGGAGTACTTACAGCATGCCTGGTGTCACTCTTCCACACGCCTCATGGTCTAACCAGCCACAGTACGGGTCCCGTGAAGCAATACATGCCCTTGCAAGAGAAAAACCCCAAAAGATCATGCATTTTTAACTTCCTTCCAAAGAAATGTTGGTGCCCTTGCTTTAGGGGGGATCAGGAAGGGAGCCATACTTTTTACATGACCCGTGACGCTCACACCGACTCAGGGGAATTCTAACGACGCAGCTGGAGAATGCCACGAACAGAGCATGGTGGTCTCTGTCCAGCTGGAGGGAAATGACTCTTCTGTCCTCCTCGCTTTCTGCATTACACCTGGTCAGCAAAAACAAGAGCAGGCCACTGCTTTAGTGACTGTAGTACTTCGTGCACTAAACATTTTATTTATTGTCTGTGTAGCTACTGAACAGAAACTTCTCACATACATAAATGTAACCTTTGACTCTTTGCTGAGACATTGCTAAACAAACCTCTGAGTTATCAAATGCTGGATTCTGGCTCCTGCTAACATCTAGGTGAGAAGTTTGCAGATCTATGTAGGAAAAAAACAATCTAAATCCATTTTCTTTGTTTTCTCAGTCAGCATAAGTATCATGAGAGAGCAGAAGAGAAGTCCTGTATTGGATGGCTGTAGAGTTTAACTGGAATGCTTCCACTCCCAAATTCTTTGTGCCAAAAAATAAACAACTAAAATGATCAGATATTGGTTATACACTATCAGCCACTCTTGAGCAACCCTCAAGATAAGCACAGATCATTTCTTTTTAACATCACCAAAGACTTCTGAAGTTTCAGAAGTATTTGCGGGAGAATTAGACCATGTCACTGACGTCACTGGATAGGAATTAGATTGTTCATTCAACCCATGCAAAATGGCAAGTGACCAAATACTTTCAGGTTATTCAACATGAGGAACATGATGAAATGACAAATAAGTGGTGATGTTGGTGATAATGAGCTAGTTTACCATAATCTTTTTTAGCTAGATTCCAAGGACTAGATGAAGAGCTTAGATGTTCTGGTAATACTTACTTTGCATGATTATATGCTTCAATCTCTTCCAGTAATATGCTGTCATTCAAAGAAAAAGGCCTGGTCTTTGCCAAGATTTTAAGTACTACTCCTGCTTCGGAGCCAACAAATATGACTGTGTAGTTCTGGTAGGGTCCAGCAGCGTGGTCTACAGCAATTGCTGTCAATCTGTATCTAGCAAGACCAGAAGGCACATCATTAACAGCAAGTTGTCTTGTTTTCCTTTTCACAGGTGTTACTTTTGAACTGTCATACCTGACACGTGTTTTGGTAAACCAGGGCTCCTCAGTGACTGAGGGAACAGCTGAGTCCATCAATGGATGAGATTTGATGAAGGAGAGCGTTTCGTCTGGGAAATCAATGGAGGTTTTGTAAGCCTCTGCTAGGCCATGTTTTGCACAGCAGCCAGGTCTGAAATGAGAACAATATTGTTTTCCTCTTGATATTTTAGTTAATGAGAGAAGGCAGCCGGTTAATGAGCATCCTTATGGCTGAAGCATCAAGCTCTGCTTTGGGTTTTACCCAGCGAGGCACTCAAGAGTGCAGCTGATTTAAGGTAGCTCTTTACAGGGACAATGTTATGACATTGTGAGTAAGAACCTTTTACCTTGGCTTTGGTACTTTGTCTTCAGGTACAGCTGTCCAAACAGAGTCAGGAGTCTTTTGTTCTTTAAATCTTCCTTTGAAGACTTTCTCAATGTCATCCATGCTGAAAGCACACACTGCTGAACCAGGGATGCTGTAAAATTCGAAAAATAGTTTCAAGAACTCAGATTACAATGGCACCAATCTCAGTGTAAGAGAGAACCTGAGATCTGCCTTTGATGAAAGGTTGCTCATTTCTTACCTGTTGAGCTGTGTGGTGAATACACCCACAACAGTGGGCACTCCATTGATTTCTATGATGTCTGTGATGGACTGCAGAACATCAAAGTAGAAAAATGAATCCCCAGGAACTGAGCAGTTGAGCCGAGCTTTCAGAAAGGATGTCCAGTGCTTCTCCAGGACCCTTTGGGAGCCCCCCATGTCATTTTTGCAGATGCGTGCCACACGGGAATACACAGCCTGTGAAAGGAAAAAAGAAGGAAAAAGGGAGAGAGGCTTGAGAGATGCAAGGGAAACAGTGCTTGTTTCTGAACTCTTAATAAAACACCTAGATAATGTTGTTAACAGGAAGCTGCCATTTATCTGCACAGAGATGATGAAAGCAAATGGTGTTCAGCTCGTAGTGCACAGGAATCTTAATGTATCACCAAGCAAATGCATCTCCACAGTTTGCTCCCACCCTTTTCACCTCCAAAATCATATTGTTAGTGAGATTTAAAGACTTTAATTAACCATGTGTAAGAGATTTAATAATTTATTGTAGAATATTCTTCCATGGTGAGGCATGAGTATTATACTCTGTTCTGGCATGACTGAATTATTCAATATCCAGGGACATTAGAGAAACTTCTTTGAAGCTCTCCTTTTGTGTTGTTTTCTTTTGTTTCTTTAATAAGCATGAAAACACCCTCAGCTTTTCCAGTACTTGGCACAAGAGTTAAGGCAACAGCAGCACTGAGGCAACAGCACATTGAAAGACACCTGTAGCGAGCTCACTGACAGTGAGAACAGAAACAGCTTTTTGGTTGAAGAATGCACTGCTCTAGTTTGCTTTTTCTCCCCTCCCTGTAAATTATAACCATGGTAAAACTGTGCAAACTTTGTCCTAGTTCCTTCTTCATATTATGAACTGTACTTGTTTCTGATGCTGTTTTAGGATGAGCTCCTTCTGCTGTGACTCAACGCTCACAGTGCAGATACTGACCTTGCCTAAAGTGTTGTGCTCCACAGCAATTTCTCGGAAGAAGAAATAAACATAGTTCCCATATTCAATGGCATGGAGGAAGTGTGGCTCTGCAAGAAAGAGCAAGGAGAAGTTACTTCAAAGAACTGCTCAATGGGCACATGACAGTGACACTGTGAGACTTGGCAGCTCCTGCCCAGGTCCACACCAGCCAAGGTGAGCTCCAGTCCTACAGGTACTTCAGGATGTCCATGTACAGGTGTACTGGAGTTCAAATGAACTTCAAGTCTTTAGCATTGGCTAATGTACTGTAACAAGGCCCCACAGAAATTGTATTACAACTAAGGTATTTTGTTACTACAAATTCATTTGTTGAAGGATTTAACAAAAATTTTATCTGTTTTTTTTTTTTTTTTTGCATTATGCAGCTTTTTAATATTCTGAAAGCCTCATACATGCTGACATTGTAGCATATGTGTAAACCAGGCTGACTGTGAATAACCTGACCTTCTGTGCCCCTGAAATGACATTTGCCATGTGTATGGGAAAATACTCCCCAAATTACCTTTTATCCATTTGGAGTCATACTTTATTGTTCTTAAGGCAGATCCATCCCCCATGCTGCGATAAATAACAGCATCACTTGCCAGGAAATCTGCTACTGTTGCCGAATACAATTTTCCATCTAAAATGGAAGTTGAAAACATGGTATTAAGAGGCCTTTAATAATCTACAAAATTCTGACTAGCCTGTATTTTTCCCCATTTCTTTACTGTCACACTTCCCCAGACTGCTGTAACCTATTTATTAACAGGTCAGCTTCTAATCCTTTGGAGGCCCTTTAAAAAATTTAAGAGCAGGGGCACCATGACACCTTTAGCTTTCCTGTGCTTGCTTTAAAAGCTCTCTGTCTCCTTTGGTGTCATTAATCATTTAGACTCATTACAAGTAAAAGTTCTTACCAGCAAAGAGGGCGACATTGGTTTGTCTGGCATCAAATGGGCATCTTGCCAAACCACTAATTTCCTCCCCATCATACTCTAATGTATTCAACTAGAGAAGAAAAATAAATGGGTGATAGTGTCATTTCTATTTTGTGCACTGGCACAAAAGCAAAACATTGTCTTTCCACAAAACTTAATTCAGCACATTGGCTTCTGTCTGTTTTTATTTCACCTTGAAGCACTCTCCAGGCACACTGGATGTATTGGCTATGGCATAACCAGTGCAAGCAAAACCAGAAACAGATTAACGACATCTTCAGTACTCTTACCCGATAGTATCTGCACATAGGGTTAAATGCATTTGTTCCACAGACAAACACCATCTCATCATTTCTTGGAACAAAGACTTTAATGAAGTTATGGCATTCATCCTGAAAAGAGAGTAAGATGTATTAATCACAAACTCCATGTATATAATAAATACTAGTGTCATTTTTCTATAATGTGCTAAACTTACTTTGTGTTTGCCTTTCATAGCACAGTTCTCTCTGTCCTGCTGCTTTGATCTCCACGTTAATTTCTGAAAGGAAATGGAACATTTGAATTCCTTGCCACAGCAAATTCTTAAAACAACCCATTAAAATGAAAGAAAACACCTCTCCCTTTCCAGCAGGCATCTACTCACCTTGCTTGGGATAACTTCTGATTTTGGAACTTCATTTAAGTTTACAGTGTAAACCTGGTCCCTGTTTGCAGAGTAAAAAGACAGCAGTAAATTCATTAATTCTGTGCCTCTTTATTTGATAAGCCAAATCTATTTTCAGAATGTTATGTTAGACCAGCAACTTCTGTGAAATAGAATTCTGTGTTTAATGTAAATGGAAGAAGGTTGTTCATGTGTAACATGAGGTGGCTTTGATTTTTATTGCTGTGGTCCTGAGATAGCACCTGCAGTGTCCAGCTGTCCATCCCTGTCTGCCCATTCTGCTGAGGACTAACCTGGGCTGTAAATATATAAGTGTGTTATCCTCACTTCCTACAGCCCTGATGTGTCAGTCCAAGTTTAAAATGATCAGGAGAGGTTTTTATCAGGCAGGGCAGTAATATAAAAGAGGGAAAAGAGCATTTGATCATTGGTTTAAGCTTAACTACAGTAACTGCAGCCTTCAAATCCAATTTTCATGCACTGGCCATAGATATGGTATATTTCTCTGGGAAATTCTGCCCCAATTCTAATTTTTATCATATTCTGCACTTTTTTCTAAATGAATTTTACACATAAATGCAAAACCAGAAGAGAAAAGAATTTTAATCTAATGAACTGAATGAAGGAAAATTACCTGCCAGTGATATAAAGTGTGTCTCGAATTTTCAACATTAGTTGGAAGTCCAGTCTGTGCTGAGATTCATTGCCTGAAGGGCGTCCTCTAAATACTGGATATTGCCTTGAATCTGCAAGTAAAAATGGGCTACACCATCACTCAGGATTATAGAGCTAAAGAATCAATATATGGCATTGATTAGCTGTATATACTAGGTGTAGAAGGGTTTAAACTAAATTCCTTGAGTAATGTCTTGAATATAAATGAGGAAAAGATGGCTAATGTCAGCAAATGTTCTTTTTCCTGAAATTATTGCTGTATTTCTGATTGCTTTTTTAAGAAAATGATTAAGTGTTCTATTAAAGATACAAAGCCAGTAAACACATTTCAGTTTGAAAGGAATCAGATTTTTTTTTCATTTCCCATGGTGGGGGGCAAGGAAAAAAAAAATCAACATTAGAACTTTTTCCCTGGTGTTTATCAGCACTTGATGCAGATTACTTACAGTGGTAGTCCACGACGTTGATGGGGTCCTCGTCTTCGGGGAAGCTGACGGCCCGGCAGGGGGACAGGCTCAGCAGTGTCACCAAGGCACAGAGCACGGGGAGCCTCATGGCTGGGGACAGGTGACAGCGCTGCTCAACTACCTGCACACAGGACAGGGACACAGCGGTGAGGCTGCGGCAGCATGGGACACTGGCAGCAGGGGACACTGCTGGGAAACTGCTGCGTGACACGGCCCCGCTCCAGGCTGCTCTGAGCCATTGATGGTTGCTAATTCTTAGCTGGATTTGCAAGCATTTCCAAAGAAATGACAACTGTCAGCCCATTTAATTCACAGAATCGGAAATAGAACATACAGGCTGCTGACCTGGCAAGAAATATTGTCAAACTTGGGATTAGAATTTTAATTAAACTGCAATCTCTTTCCATCCTCTCAATCACCAAATGTCATCCAACACACCCTTTTCCCATGCAGCACCTAAATCTCATCCACAAAGCGTCATGACACACACAATGTGTCTGAACATCCCTGCTGTGTTTAATGTCATTGCTTGTTTCCAGGCTGTGCCATCTCAGTGCTCAGCCCAACGTCCCATTGTCACAGACCTGATGCCCAGAAGCAGGCACCTGATGCTCTGCCTTGTGCAGTGACTTACACATGCGCAAAGTAAATGCAAAATGCTGCCCCTGCAGTGTGACAGCACTGTCACACACTTCACAAGGGTGGCAAGAGACCCAAATGGGGATGCAATGCTGAACCACCTTCCCAAGATGCCACTTTCCCCCTCACTCCATCTCCTACTGTCAAAGGCTTCAGAGGCTTTCACCTGGGGGTTGTGTGTGTGTGCTCTGCAGATCAGACAGCACAGATCATGACAGCACCACAACATTAGACAACAAAGCTTTTAAGAGGGGAAGGGAAACATAACTTCTTCAATTAAACCACAGGGATATTTCAGTGAGCAGAATGTAACTACTCAAGTTGCCATTTGGGTAGGATGCGAGAAAACACATCTCAAAGTGAAATGTGATCCTTAATGACTGCAAGTGGACTGGGCAGGGGTCATATTTCTCATTAGAAACCTGGCAAATGTAGTATTATTCCCTCCTCCAACCTTTTGGAGGCATTCATTCAGCCCCGACTCACAGGTCAGAGCTCTGAGTCATCAGCTCAGTGCCTTGCAGTTGCTGAAATTGGTTATTAAATGCTTTGTCTAAACAGAAAAAAAAAACCCAAAACCTTTCCATTTTAATGTTTTAAGACTTTCAGTGAGAAGAGTATGTTGCCAACACAAAGTGCCAGACCTGATCCAGCAAAGCACAAAAGTATTATTCATTTAATAATTTGAAGAGCAATTAAAAAACCCCTTCATAACAACACTTAGCCTTTCAGTAATGCTTATGGGGGACGAAAATGCTGTATTTGTTCATTGATCCTATGGCTGGCTAGGGGCAGGGCTTCCTCCTTCCAGAGGCTGCTGAGCTGTCAGTTTGGGCTGCACTGTGAGGAGAGCAGCTGAACGCCTGGGAACATTTGGGGATGGGGTGGGGGTGTTGTCTGGATGCCTGCCCATTACAGACTGACCTGGAAAGCAGCATTTTCACTGTTAATGATATTTCTGTATCTCAGTCCACCAGTCCAGAACGAATGGGCTGTGCTCTTAGTCAAGATTGATGAGTGCAGTGGTTAATAAACACTAATGATTCCTGGCACTTTCCCTCTGCTCTTCCTTGTCCTGACATGGCCTCTTCAGCTGAAGCATCTTGCGTTAAATTACTAATGAGCAAACTTAAAACAAACTGGAATTAATAAAGTTAGTCAAATTAGTTCTTTCTTGTGAAAGCACCATTAGAGCAAAGTCCTGCAGCACTGTGGCTCCCAGACACAATAACAAATCATTAATGCTTACACAATCTTTTTTTTTGGGGCTTTTTGTAAGGAAAAGCAGGCTCCAAAGATCCAGCCCAGTCCTTTTCCAGTGAAAGAGAAAGGGGAGGCACATAAACTGCACGTTGAGTTGGTGCACAGTAACATCTATAAGGTGCTTAGTAAAAGTCTTCCCTGAAGCCTTGTTTTCTTGGAGAACAAATGAATACAAATTGCCAAAGAGCAAGAAGCTCTCCCAGACATGTAGGCTGCAGTCAGCATAGAAGATGAGGCTGCTTGTGGCCCAAATCATGACTCAAAGAGACCCTGGCCCAGCTTCAAACTGCACACAACTTGCAAACTCTACAAGTTCCACCTGTACCAAGCAGGGGCATGTAACAGGAAGCTTCTTTTCCCTTCCAGT